TTCAATTTCGCCCAGTTTCCTTGATTTTCCATTCAATTTCCTACCACAGCGACTCTCAGAGTGCTTTATGTTTTCCATCGCCTTTGATGGCCCATTCTTTGCAGTAGCCGCTTCTTATTGAAGAAGTTCGTATGGCTTTATCGTATGCTTTTTAATTGCGGAAACAATTTTCACATCTGAATCTTCGTTTCTTAGAATATTTTTGAAAACATTTATGAAAGCTTTTCTGCAAACATTAGATTGCAGAAGACTGTATCAGTTATATATAAGAATTTTGAATGTACGAATCTTTAGTAACTTCTTTAGAATCCATCATCAGAGAAATAAAAAGCAATCGATTAAGACTATAAGCTTTTTGTGTGTTTTCCATGACATCATTGGCTATTATGGACAGACAGCACAGCATTTAGGAGGTATAAATCCTTTTCCGATGAATGTCACATAACTGAGTGGTATGAGGGATCAAAAAATCGAAGCCAGAAGTCAGCTGTTCTAAAAATATTGCGCTAGCATATTATTTTTATTTGGCACGAATGGGGTCTCACAGATTGGAGATTTTTTGAAACAATTTCTGCACATTGAGTAATACAACATTAAAATCTTAACACCATTCTGTTTCAATTATTTTATTTTCTTAGATTTTTTTCATAGGTTTGTGAGACTAATAGGTGATAATTTTTATACTCCACAACTGACCTCATTCATTTTCCAAAAAATTCAATAATAGAAATGTACGGCGATATTTGAAGTTCTAGGGGCTCTTCCACTGCTCAGTTGGAATGATTAGCCAAGAAAAAATAGTGTGGAAATTTGACCAATGTTTGAAGCTCTGCAAACTTTAAGTGGAATGCGAAACTTTTACTGAGAGAATTAATTATAACTGCTTGCGACATGCCTCGTGGAAGCTCATACGTATTAGACTGGCACATACATAAGTTGTAATTTATTTCGTAACTTTGCTCCTGTTGACTTTGAAGCATTCCTTTTTGGAAATGATGTAGATTAGGTAGTATGCTACACATATGCCCAAACAGATTGATTTTTGGTAGCGATGCCGAGAAAATTTACTCATTTTTCCGAAGCTGGGCAAATTCTCAATTTTAAGGATCGCAAATCAAAAACATAGCCGTTCTCACTCTGAATCAAACAAATAAGCCGAAACTGTCCCAGATTGTTGATAGAGAAATTCTTAATGATTGATCTATACAGTTTCGGTTTGTTTTGTTTGATTCAGACTGAGAAGGGCTTTATTTTTGAATTTTCGACCCTTGAAATTTCGAATTTGACCAGTTTTGTCAAATGCGTGAATTTTTTCCACTTGGCTCTAAAAATCAAACCGCTGAGCATATTTGTAGCCTACTAACCAATCTACAATTGCTCAAATTGAATGAATGCGTCACAGTCAAGAGGAGAAAAGTTATGAAATAAGTTACATTATTTATAATGGTTTTTGCCATTATAAATGCATTATTCAGCTCCTCCTTATTGGATACAAAACAATAAAGCCAAGACATTTTAAAACGAACATTCTGGACACCAGGAGTTCGAACAATCCATAGCGAAAGATAACCTTCACTAATGTTAGAATCAGAGAACCTGCGAAAGGCGAATGACTTCACGTATTATGGAAATTATCTCTCATAATCGTAACGAAGTCACAGGATGCGAAGCTAGAAAATATTAAAAAATGCAGACGCAAAAGATTCTTTTGTGTTGAGTCATTTTTTTACGCTTTAGGATGGAAAGAATTAGAGGGATATGCTGCTGTCGCAAAAACGTTCCCTCTCTGTCACCAAGCTTTCTAGTTTTACAGTCACAATAAGACTTAGGCTTCCACCAGCTGAGCTGTGCTTACAGATTTGATTCTCCAATTTTTTATTAACATAAATAACATAGGTAATACCTACTATGTAATGTAATAAACTATTCCTTTTCCCTTAACAAAATATTTCGTTTCAACAGACAGAACAAGTCCAACTTTTCAATCCTCCAGTAAGACACCATGATCCCAACAAAGTGATCTGATACGATATGAGCTACATACTTTGTCATTTCTGAGATGATTTCCAATGGCAGTATCGTAAAAATGGACTGAGAATGTTTTAGGAGAAAATCTTCGAATATGCGAAAACAAATTTTGAGTATTTGAAGCCTGTTTGTCAGCTTTAACTTCTAGAAATGGGTCTGAAAATCTGTAATGTGCTTCATCATTTCAAATGTGTTAGATTGTTACATAAGTCTTGTTACACTTTGAATTCTTTCGGCGATAAGTCATGCACCTCATATTCTTTACAGGTCTCCAGGGTAACATTCGGTAGAGCAAAGCAAGCTCTACAAGACAGTATGCAAAAGTTCGCACCAGCTCCAACTCACCGTAAGTTTGCATCCAGTATTTAAGTCGTGTTGAAGGCCTGAAGAATTGGAAAAAACTCATACTTTTATTTTAAAAAATCCTACGGACCAAGTTGCTCAAACAAATTGCACACCACATCAGACTCTCATATGTACCGTTGCTGTATTTCTCACTCATCTAGAAATCGAGAAAATGAATATTTTCTTGTTTCTACAGAAACGGAGCTGTGCTGTTTTTATTCATGTAGTTGTATAAAACGAGCGCTTAAAGTATAATCGTAAATTCTAAACTTTCCAGAAGCCCTAGTTTTCGGAAAATACCGAATTTAGCTTTTTCCACTTGGGTGTTCAATGCTAAATCAGGTAAATTGCGAAAACTAGGGCTTCTGGAAAGCTGAAAATTTACGGCGATACTTTTGAAGGCTTGTAGTATACAGCTACATGAATAGAAACACATAGCTCCGTTTTTCCAAAAACAAGAAAGTTTTCATTTTTTCGATTTCTAGATTAGGAAAAAAACACTCAACAGCACATATGAGTGTATGATATAGAGTGCAATTTTTATGAGCAAGTTGAAGATTCGTAGGATTTTTTTTGAACAAAGATATGATTTTTTTCCAATTCTTCAGGCCTTCAACACAACTTAAATTCTGGATGCAAACTTCGGTAAGTTGGAGCTGGTGCGAACTTTTGCATACTGTCTTGTAAAGCTTGCTTTGCTCTATCGAATGGTGCAAAAGTATATACCAGAAAGGGAGATTTAGAAATCTGTGAGCTACACGATCTGTTGCAAATTGCAGCGAATATGACTGTGTGTGCGCGCTCGTAAATTAGTCCACAAGTTTTGTAACAAATTTGCTCAGAGCTCAAAGGGTGTTTAATCTACATAACAAAGTATAAAATACCCAGTTGGTAAATTATTTCCTCTTTTTTGGAAGGTTTCTGGTGAGTAAGCCTCAAGATTTTTTTTACACTCCGTGCTGCAAATGTAAGCTTCAAATTAAATTATCTTCTCCTCACAGTCCATGTAAATGTCGACAATTAGATAGGATTAGTGCCTAAGGGAATGATACATATATAGGCGGAGAGTGTTTGCGTTCGATAGGGGAAATTCTAATAATTAATTAAGTTCGAGCCTGATACATAAGCCTACATACAGTACCTATAATTCGTTTAGCTGTTAATCTGTATGTGTGCTTCTTTTCTGCAACCTTTGCAATTTCGTGAAAGTTGGGAATGTTTTACTGAAGCGAAAGTGTCAGGTGTTTTTGACAGTCACAAACTTCAATGCACTGAAAGGTTATGCATATGTTAATTTGCTTTGATGTGTATGCATTTCTTTCGAGAAGCTTATAAAATAGCGGTATCAAAGACTCAAGCTCGAACCACCCCGTACTTATTTATTGCTCGTTCATATTGAATTCATCTTCGTCTTAGAGCCCCTCATATTTCTTTAATTGCAATTGTTAACCTTTCATTAGCTTGAAAAGTTAGTTCAGCGATAATAGTTTCAGTAGGCATACAAGCTTAATTTCGTCTTATGATGCAGGTTGCCAATTTCACTCAAAATCCCTGATGCACTGTAAAGAGTTTTTCCAATGAAAAACTGGTTAAGGAACCCTAACTATGTACTCGAGCTTACATTCGCTAGTAGGGACAGTTTTGAAATGAATAGAATATAATGAGTGTGACAAATGACAAGAATTTTTGGCTAAAACATGAAAGAGAGGCTTTGTTTTACAAGTTCTTTTGAATTAACTCAGCCCATATCCCACTGAATTCACTCACAAAAGGTGGACGTGAAAATCTAGTAGTCATAAGACATTATCGAACTCATCCGCATTCGTTAATTTGCTTGACTCTGATACTGTTTTTATGAATATTATGAATATGTAGTTGTCGTAAGTGACTCCCCACTTTTCTTGATAAGTAGGACTTTTCATTCTTATTGGACAACTGAAATGACATAAATGTGCCCGGAATGCTCGTTTGTCCACTTTTGATAATGCGAGACTGATAGTTGTGCGCTTTATATTCATCAGTAAATATATAGCTTAATAATTAGAAGGCCGCAGTAATGTGATTATAGGTGCCTTTTTCTTGATAGTACGGTGAGTAGAAAACGCATACTTTGCCACTCAGCTTGAATGAGTATATTAAGAAAAAAAAACTGAGTCAAAGTCACAACTATTCTTAAGGAATCTATGCTTGCTGAAGTGGAATCCCAATCATGCCAAAAGAATCCTGTTCATGCCAAAAGAAGATTCTTATTATATATGAACCTAAAAGTCGCACAGGCAAATTGTACCATCGGAAGCATCTTTTTTTATCATACTTCATCAAATAATCAATAAATATTGACTTTCAAGCTCTTAAAGCTTCCTTCAGAGAGTGGTTCTGCAAATACGAAAAGTCTGAAATTAGCATTCCTCATTTTGTCGATGCGACTCTTTCATGAGAAAATCAATTAAAAGAAGACATATGCTACTTCCTGCTTTAGAATCTGTTTGAGCTATACTTTTTGGTTAGATAATGGACTGTCACAGATGATAAAATATGGAAAGAGCTGAACATGATCCTAACCATCAGTACCCACAACCTATCATTCGTCCTTGTAACTTTCAACTTCTGCAATTTTCAGGAGTAAAATGCTCTTTTCTCTACTCCTGATCAATGTTTGCGCAGCAGCGGATTCAGGCAGCACAGCACCGTCTGTTGAGGTGCGATAGTCTCCGGAAGTTTTGTCACGATTAAAGCTTTTTGTTTAGTTGACAAGCGTCGACTACTCTGCTTTGACCACTACAGATAATGCAGGACTAGTCGTCGGTTAGTTTCGCTTTTTCAGGCTCTTTCAATTAGGGGTCCACATATTTGTGGTGCTCCTGCTTCTGTGCAAAATTTAGAGGGTGGCCAAAAAATCCTGCGGGTATAATGAGCACTAATGATGCAATTTATATCTAAGCCGTGCAGCTCGCATTCCAAGCAATTAAACCTACGCTTCTCTGCAGAGATGCTCGTGGTCAGCTCATAAAAGCAATCACTTGATGAACGGGCAAAAATTGAATTACAGTGACTACGTAGTACGCTTGAATCACGGCCGTAGTAACTGAAAAATCCAGAGGGAAGGAAAGCGCAGAAATGAACAGAAAAAGGTCAAGTGCTTCTCTTCCTTCCATTGTTCAATTTTTTCCCTTCAATTTTGTTAAGACACGTGACTACTCCAACATGAGTGCCTATAATTAAGAATAATACCTGTCTGGGCTTCAAGACCACTGACATGACTTACTTCTTTGGAAAAGGCATGATTGAGTTGCAACGAAAAAACTTCGCCTTTGATTTTCGCCTTTGTGCCGAAAACTCAAGGTTTTATATTTAGCCCCATCCAGGACAATGCATGACAAGACGTTTTTACTAATAGTTGCATCTAAGTTTTCTGAAAGTAATTATAAAGCGAGTTATGTGAGTGATTAAACGCTCTCATGTAAAATAGGCAAGCGAAGAGAAACTTGTGTGGTAAATCTAAAGTGCGATATCCTCTAAGAGCGTAGTTATATCGAGTTTCTTTTGAGTTCCATATACTACTTTTCTTTCCTCTAAATTACATCGAAAAGCTTTATTTTAGCCATTAACTTTCGTGTAAGAAGTGATTTTTTTTATAGCCGTGTTGTAGTATCTCCCCAGTTGACTTTGAGCTGGGAAATGAATATGTCAAAAATGCGAGATTATTGCATAGATTCAGTCCCAAAACTTTTGAAAATGTAAGACTGTGCTGCATGGAATACCATACAAATTAATTCTAGCAGTGAGTGGAAAAAGTATAATTTTTTTCATCACTGGATTTGAGGAAGCGGTCCCGGAATTCACAAACTGGGCATGGTAAATGTGAGCCATTCAATGTGTATTTCAAGGATCATCGAAGAAGCTGACGGAATATTTACTGTCACAACATAATCCGAATGCGCCGCCAGATGGAATTCTAGACCTTCATTATGAGATGGAGCTCGTCCACATTCTAGGCATCGATGAACTGAAACAAACAATGACTGTGCTTGTATATGTGGATGAGGTTTGTTTGCAGGTTACAATTTATGTTTGTACGAAACATGAGGCAACAAATACAAGATTGAAGTCTAGAATTTTCGACATGAGAAAAAAATGACACCAGCTCGTGCCACGCAGTATGCCATACTGACAGTGGAGACATACTTTTCCTAATTTTTCTTAGTTTTTGTGGCAACAGCATTAACACATAGAACAACCATCTTGTCATTTGAAAATTTAGCGAAGTGTCGCAGCAGTTAAAACCTATACCTTACAGAAATGGACCGACCCAACGCTATCATGGGATCCGCAAAAATTTGGCGGCCTTTCGAAGACGTGGGTACCATTATCTCAAATATGGCTTCCGGATATCATCATCTTCAATATGTGAGTGTTTGAGCCGGTTTGTCCCAGCAAATAGAAAATTTTACTTATACTGGAGGATTCTATGATTGAAATAAAAGAAAAATTTCCTTACTTCGAAGCTCAATAAGTAACAGCATAGCGATGGCGGGCAGAGGGAAAGCGTCCTCCATCTCTCCCCCCCCCCCCCCCTAGAATGGGTAGCAAATTTTTGAGAGGTTTTTTACATGTATGAAATTGTGCAAGCGACTTCTTTTCACTTATGCATGATTGGAATAATATTTGAGATTTTTCAAAGAATCAAATTAGCTTTGTAAGAATTTTCTGGGGACATGGCTGCAGTTAGCCTGCTTCTTTTGAAGTTTTGGGTTACGGGTCCCCAAATCTGGGCGTTTCAAAATTCTTGGAGTTCGTGGCTAAGGGCATTCCGCCCCGAAAGAAATCTTAGACCGCCGCAGTTCATATCTTTAGTCGACGTACTTTTGCACCCACTTTAGTCAGCATAAACGATTTTTCACAATTCTGAAATGGCGAACGGTGTTCCCAATTTTTGGGCGGAATGATGCCTGTTGGTTACAAACGGGCCCTCAGCTCCTGCAAAAAAGAATCTTTGATCCATCCCTTGAGGTAGTAGACAGCCACCGGAAGTGGCTTCTGCTACCCCTCAGATCAGTGGCCAGGTGAGGCCATAAGCTATCCTCGCAACGCTAATAAAAACACCAAACGAGCTCATAAAAAGCGATCGCAAGACCGCTTTACGCTGTCAGTCCCTGGATCAGCTGAGTCACCTGCATGATAATGGGATGTTTGAACAAATGACTCGTTTGGTTGGTAGTCATATTAGCGCAAAATTCCTTGAGCCACCATCTTCCCTTCTCTCTCCCCCCCCCCCCGCTTGCACACAGAATTGTTTTCAACCACACTCTCGGCCTATCGGCGTTTTAATTACTGAATGGGCAACGCTGCCCGAATTCAAGGGTTAAAACTCCTAGGTTACAACGCGAAGACCTGCTGTCATCAGTGCGAGCACCTGCCTTGATCTACTCGAATGGTACGGTAGAAGCAAGTCATCCAGCGGTCTATACAGTAAGCTGTGAAATCAACATCAAACGCTTCCCACTTGACGATCAACGATGTGCGCTTGAGGTACATTGCTTTGGAAAAATAATAAATAATGAAAACAGTGAGGTGAATGAGTCTTGCACCCTTCAGATTGCAAGTTGGACCTATGGTAAGGATAAAATCCGCTTGCATGCACATACCGAACACTCTCTTGAACATTACACGGATAATGAGGAATGGCGATTGCTGAAGGTGTCCGTAGTTGAAGACGAGTACGAGCACGAAGGCATTAATGTGCATATATACTTCATCAAAAGGACAGCGAAATATTTTACTTGTTTAGGTGTCTGAGTTACGATACGACGTCTCTGTAAAGCGAAGACCGCTTTTCTACATGGTCACGTTGACTTTTCCAAGTTATGTGATGTGCGCAATATCAGTCGTCGGATTGTTTGCGAGGTTTTCGACTACTGGAGAACGAGAGGTAGGTTACCAACTGAAAAATCATAAGTGTAGCAAAAGAGAGATCTATTTCAAAAAAGCCAAATTCTTCAACTCCTTTTGATACGCTGGAGAACAACCCGCAACACTGATGAAAACTCATAAAATTCAAGAATGAATATCGTGAAGCATCATTCCCAGAATTTTTTGTTCTAAAGACTAGCTGTTTCAAGTTCGCTTATGCGAAGAGCAGTGTTTACAAGTGCCAAAAAATTGAAGCAATTGGAAAAAGTGCGTGTAACTTCTTCTTTATGAATGAAATCGAGACTAGAGGATGGGATAGGAACCGTGGTTAATATGCTTTTTTCGAAGGTTCATATTCAAAATTTATAAGTAATATTAAGTCGTTTCATGAATAATGCACCTTTTGCAAACCTAGGCCTTGAGTCACGATGAATTTTTCTAAAACCTTCTTCTTGAACGCTTTATTATAAACAGCAAACCTTTGGTATACAACACAAATTTTTGGGTGATTGTATTTTGGCGAAAATTGTCTGAAAAGCTTTAGTTTGAGAGAACGTAAGGCGAATGCATCTCTGCACGAGATTTATCAAAAATCTAGCTTTTGTGAGCATTCTGTAGCACAACGTTCACAATTATAATACATAGTTTTTCGGTCAAAGCTGCACATTTTTCGTGGATTTAGTGCAATTAGAGCAAAAAGGATATGACAAGTTTCGGTTTCTTACTTTGAAAGCAGGCAACTGCAGTTTGAATGAAGACATCCGCAGACGAAAACATATACAAGAAACTAGAAGGAGTGGACTTTCAGATGGTATAGAAATTTTATGAGAAAAACTGTTGGAAAATTAGCGCTTGAAACTGAGACAATGAAAGCGTTATTAATCATGAGCCAACCTAATATTGTACATGAAACGGGGTATTTTTTAGCTGCTAGTAAACCTGCTTTTTACTTCTAGCCCATGGACTCGCTGATGTTGTCATTTTAGGAAAGGTTCACTCTTGGAGTTACTGCCATCTTGACAATGGCTGTTCTTTCGCTTGTCGTAAGCGAAAAGGTTCCACATTCGTCAACTCATGTACCTCTCCTTGGTGGGTACATCTATTGTAACGCATAATGTCATCAAAAAGAAAAACCATTGTCTTCTCAGTGGCATACTTCCTCTTCAACATGATATCAGTCTCCGTAGCTGCGATGACTACGGGACTTGTAATGAAAGTTCATCGCATGGGTCGGCATGGTCGCGAACCGGAAGAGTGGGTGCTGCGCTTGTTTTGCCTGCGGCCCGTGAGCTTTCGGGTAAGAGTATTGAGACACTTTATTTGTTCCAGAAATTATCGTTTTTCAGAATGGAATTTATACAGTGAACACTGGTGAAACACTGCTGCACTCGTCTTCCTATCTGAAAGGGCTAAATTCCGAGCTGCGCAAGTGCGAGTCGCAACCGTTGTCCGAACGAATTCCAGTTCTTGAGTCATATATCAAGAAACTTGCCAACACCTGCGAAAATATACAGGTGAAAACTTTCTTCGCAATTATTTGCAATTTTTTGCTCTCATAGCTCCTCTAACTGAAAAGCTGAATAACAGCAATCAGCAAATGGCTTTTACTATGCTTGATGAAATCAAAGCGGCGTTTCGCCAACTGCTCGCCATAAATTGTGCGGAGATTGGCGTTAGAACGATGCTACGCTGAGCGGTGTGAGAGGTGATTGCGGAGTTTTGGAAAGACAAACTAATTACGAAGGCATCAAGGGAGGGATGAGATGTCGCAGATTAGTGACCATAATGCATACATAAACCTTTTTAGCACCATGGCTCCTAAAACATGGCAAAAACTTTTGTAAGATTTGTTGGTAATATATACAGTGTCCTCTTGGATAATTTTATAATAATACCCCCCCCCCATTTTGGATGTACTAATTCGATTACATTTTTTTGGTATCCTCCCTCCAATCGAGATGAAGGTAACTGTCACAACGTGGTCCAATTTGTGAACATTAGCAAAAAATTGCGAAAGGAGTCGACTTTGAAACTTACTGTGAAAGAGAATCGAGAAACTTGAAATTCTGAAGACTAATGATAGTTACAACATGTCTGCCAAAACAATGAAGATCCAAAAAGCAGTTCCGAAAATATTCTTGATTCCACTTCACTGCAATATCGAAAACAATATCCACGAGCGTTTTCTCTGCCACAGTGTTCAAGCGCTTTCCTTAATTCTTGATACCCTTACTGCGTGAGGGGGGGGGGGGGCTGTAAGGCAGCGAACTTCCTCGTGTGATGGTAAAAAAAAATTTTTCTGAATAAAGCGCAAGTGATCAATCAGTCCTTTGAACGTTTTTGGGAGAGATAGAACAAATTCATTCGAGGGAGGAAGGATGTCTAGCATCAGCATCCATTCGCACTTAATCTGAGGCTTTGTCCGAATCTTCTCTATTTTTGTTGCAGGACGAGATCGACGACATCGACGTTGACGATCCTGTAGCACTGAGGCGACGTCGCGAAGCAAATGGATTCGTACGAATTTCGCAGAGACTGGATGTCATTTTCATGAGTTTCTTCCTCACCCTTGTCACCATCCCTGTTATTGTACTGTTTTATCTTAGTTAAGCTATCATCGAAGCAAAATCCTGTCATTTTCGTACTTTACACTGCAATCTTCAGCAAGATTTTTCTCTGGCTTCCAGCTGCTTTTACGATGACTTAAGATGTACCCTGCATTACGGGTGCCGAAGGAAGATCCGTAGCTGCAGTATCTAATTATGCTTGCCCTGCTTTGCAATGATATCTCGGTAACTAATGAAAGTTGCAGTTGAAATTTCCAAAGAACAGGATCCCTCATTGCCATATAGCAAGTAGTTATAATGAACTGAATGTCGTGATATATGCCCATTTCATAGCTTATTGAGTGATTTGTTGATTATTTGTATAATTCGCATGTCTATTTGGTATTCTAAACATTGTATATGCGATAGAACCATCGGTAATAAATTTCCAAATTGTGAACAGCTACAGAAACGCGTCACAGTCAGGGCCCGGCACGCTTTGGTTTGGAGCATTTATGGAAACGAAGTCCCCCATGACTTCGCGAAACTTACGAAGTCCTTCTTGACGTAAAAATCAGTAGAGGAACCCTTCTTCAACAAAAATAACAATAAAAAAAGCAAAAAAAGCACATTTCGAGGTACCTAATACAACAAAAAAAAGCAAAAAGAAAACATTTCTAGTTAATTAAAGGCTCTGTCATTGGGTAGGGTATCATTTTAGTGCTCAGAATGTTGAAAACCTCCTTGGCCAACTAGATCTGTGGCCTCAACAATCTGGCGATGCATTTTTCGCCACATAGTTCAAAAGACACCGCGTGTGATTGGAGCGCAATAATCAACGCATAGATTTACACTACTTTGGCTAAAAAAAAGAGGAGAGGCAATAGTTTGATTCGCTCTCTTCACAATATGATAGATTTTTGACCGTTCTAATCGTCCAAATCAGGAAGAGCCAAAACTTTTGTGAACTCTCCGAAATTTATGCTCCGAACCAACCCAGTTGGTTTGGTGTTGGTCTAGAAAACAACAAATTCGGGAACGGATATTAGGACACATAAGTTTTGGAAATTTTTTATGTAACATAGTTTGGAGTAATATTGTATACACGTAGCCCAAATTCGGAGCCAGGTGATTGTTTGTGCGCTGTAAACAAGCTGTTTGTTTGTTTGCGTCTTGCGTTTGAAATTCGCGCGCTTGCGAAAGAACACGTTCAACTCGTATAACCTGATATGTTCGTCGTTTTTTTTATCGGCGCTTCCCCCAGCACCTTATAGAACGATATCCCCGTTGCTTCTAACTTCAAAAACGAAGTCCAGTTTGACCCCAAACCATCTGTTCCGGGCCCTGGTCACAGTTGCTTTCAATTACCACAAGCCCTCATTAGGCAGATCCCGCATACAAACAAAGTCTAAGCAGGTTTGAGTCCTGCTTTTTTACTGTCTTGACCTTCCGAATAAGTAAACCCGGAGTGCGGATGTGGTTCTGTAGTGTGACTCCCAAGGTCCACCGCAACATCCTTGTTTCCATGACACTGAGCTTGCGCTCCTCGTTTCGCATACAAGGCCAGCACTCACTAACTACAGTGCTGCTTGACGGATAATGGTCCGGTACAGCTGGGACTTGAGGTGCACACATCCTTTTGTCGCACAGTCCTACCAGGGCTCTCCAATTCATTCACGCTATGTTCATCCTGCCGACCTCTTCTTGTAGACATCCTTCCGCTGAGATGTGACTGCCTAGGTACTTGAATGACGTTGTCTTCTTGAGCCCTTCATCATCGACGCTTATGGTACCTGGAGTTTGTTTCTCCACTTCCATGTATTCTGTTTTCCTGGTGTTGAGCTGTAAAAAATGCAACCTAGCCCGTTTTTTTTCATTTTTGTACAGCGTCTTGCAACTCCTTTCTGGTATCTGCTATCAAGACCACATCCTCCGCGTAGCGAAGTGTCCAAGGAGATTCACGTCTGGGTAGTTCTCCATCACGGCGTTCATCACAGTGATGAAGAGCAAGGGAACGAGAACTGAAGCTTGTTGTATTACAACCTTGATTTGGAAGCTTTTCGATTGCCCTGCAGCTCTTTGTACGTGACATGACATTGCGGTAGATCAACTTTATCCGAACGTACTCTTCTGGCACTATGTGTCTTCACAAGGCCCACCACATGACTTCATGGGATACCTTACCGAAGGCTTTCTCCAGGTCCGGGAAGGCTGCATGCAACTCTTTTTGCTTCTCTCTATATTTCTACATCACTATCGAGCGGAGTGGATGGCGTCGGTTGTACCTTCTCTTTTCAAGAATCCGCATTGATTCGGTGACAGCCCTATGATGTTTCGAAATCATGCTTTGATTATTAGCTCGAAGATTTTTAGAGTGTGCCTCATCTCCTTTGTTATTCCATATCGGGTCGTTGCGCTGGTAGTACCAATCGCAAGGCATACTCTTGCTCCTTATGATCTGACTGAGGAGATTTGTCAACCAAGAGGCTCCGGATTGTCTACATTATTTCCTCAACTCGCTTGGTATGTCTGTAGACCAGTAGCTTTGCCATTCTTTGTTTTCTAACAGCTTGCCATACTTCTTCATCCGCGGCTGCTGGTACTCTTTCTATGGGAGTACCTTCTGGGATAAACTTGACAGTGCGACCTGTGGTGGCTATCTCTTCGAAGTAGGTTCTCCATCTTTCGGCAATGTCCTCTGTTTTTCTTAGCATCCTACCAATTTTGTCTTTCATACGGAGGAAGTGCTCCATATCTTTTGTGGATTCCGCTCTTCTTTTCGCTATCCCGTATATCTCACGTTCTTCCTCGCGAGACTAGTTGCTTATAGAGCTCTTTCACGTAAACCTGCTTTGCTTTCTTCACAGAAGCCTTCGCTACGTGTTTAGCTGGCTGTCATGACTGGGCAATCGTCCTCCAACTTCGTCTTATCCCACCGCTTGTGTACATCCCTATTCTCCTTTATGGCTTTTTGCACTTCGTCATTCCATCACCATGTTTTAGGATATTAATCCTTCTTTTTCCTGGCTTTGTACTTCCAGGACCAATGTGCCACTCGGTGAACTCGATTTTTCAACTTGTCCAGGATAGCTCTGGATTCTCTTGGAGGCTTGGTAGAGTTGTTAGCAGTGCTCGCTTCGCTGCATTGTTGGTCTTCAGTTTCCATCATTTGATGCGTATCCTGGTCTCTGTGGCTCTGGTGTGCCCATCCATTGAGATTCTGATGTCAAGAAGCAGTGGTCTGTGTATGCAGCGTCTACCGGGAATTTGGTAGTCCTTTACGTTTTTGAAGTCGCTGTCGGATAGCCTGAAATCTATCTGAGTTCTACGGTTGCCACTTGTACATGTAATGATCATCCTTTTGATGTAGTATGTGTTCACCAAGACCAGATCATGAGCTGAGGCGGACTCCAGAATGCGCTCACCTTTTTTATTGTATGATCGTACCCGTGGCCTCCGTGACAATTCCCGGCTTATCCTTGCCTTTTTCCCAATGTCTGTTGAAGTCCACTCCTAGCAGGAGGGTCTTATCCAGCGGAATAAAACTGATGTGGTCATCAAGCTTCCTCCAGAACGCTTCCTTTTCATAATCCTTACATCCGACTTGTGGAGAATTGGCCCTTTTCCTAATATCTACCTTTATGCTCATCAGGCGATCGCTTACTCAGACAATGATTGCGACCAATCGCGGAAGGGCCCGCGCCGACGTTTCATCCATGCAGCGGGTGGTAGAGTAAAGGCACGCTAAGCAGCCAAGAGTTACCCGCGGATGCGCCGGTAAGCGCTCGAAAGACGCCCGCGGATGTCCAGACAAGCATTCGACTGATGCGCGATATGCATCCGCGGGTGGCCCGATACGCAGTACAATGCACATTTATTCCATTTTTTGAACAACTGTTTCCATATTCCTCGACCTCGCATATGGGTCAGGGTATGCGTCAAAATTTTTCTTCCTCTGGGCCCCGGTCCCAACTTCAAGTGAACCTAGGGGAGGATACCTCAGCAGACCGTCTTTGCTACTAGCCACATACCGAAAAACGATAAGCAAAGGCATAAACGTTGAGGGTACCTCTATCAGCGCGGCGTATCTCACGCGAGTAACGTTTCTGCTTACAGCATGTAAGAATTGCGGCGTCCGGCAAGGCCCGCGGCTGGTCAGACTGATTCTGTTAAGCCATTGCCTAGAAGGGCCGGGGCCTGCCCGAAAATGGTGAGCACGGGCCCATTAAGGCCCGCTATCAATAAGGTCCGTGGCCCGCCCGAGTGTTTTTTCCCGGGCCGCGGGTGTCCCGGTAGAAGAAGTAAAACCCGCGGCTTTTACCTAGCGAAAACATTGAGCCGCGGGTCGCCAAGCAAGTGATTTAAGGGCCGCGGATGGTCAGTATTAAAATTCAACGCCCGCGCGCCACGAAGAGGCACTATTAAAGGCCGCGGATGCTCGTGATAATTGTCTGAGTATGCGCTCATGTCAATTATATTGCTCCTTGGAGTCTCCGAGATTGCTATATCAACCTCGTTTCTGGTGCAGGTGGCATCGTTTTAGAGGAGCTTATATCCATCTCCGACGTCGCGTGACTTTGCTCCGCTCCACTTCATATCCTGCTTGCAGACTACCTCAGATCGCCGTCTCTTTAGAAGATCTGCCAACTCTCGAGAACAGAGGTGGGTGTTCCCATAGAGATGGTAGGTATGCGGAAAGTCTGCGATGCCTTGGATCGTTGCCTCTGATGAACTAGCCGCTTTAGCAGTCCCCGTTCATTCACCTTGCTGAGACGGTACCCTCGTCCACTATTCGCAGTCGTCCAGCTCGAATGCGCGTCGCTTCCGGAGAAGCCCTAGCCTTTACTCGAGTTACTTTATAAGACATGTCTGCGCTGTTGATGCGACTGGGTGTCTCATAACCGGGTTGTCGCATGCGCTTCTTTGAACTGATAGCCTGGAGCTGGAGTTGTGAGCAGATTTTGACCGTAGAAACTAGGCACAAGTTGACACGTGATCTTCAACACGGTAAGGTTACATGGAGCACTAACCATTTGACTAACTCTGCTCCTTTAATGTCAAAAT